CATTTCCGGTGAGTCTGTCACAGAGCATCAAGTACGCTACGTGGGGTGGTACACATATTTACATGCTGCCACGTTGATCTTATGATACTTGCAATTTACCTTCAATAAATAACTTTTTAACAACACGTTTCCTTGTAGTCAGTTATTTACCTGTAGTGTGGTCCAAGAATTTTTAAACATTGTAGTGTGTTTTATTTTGTAGGGTATATCGTAACCCCTTGTGATGAGAACCAGAGATTCCTACAAGATCCATTTGCTTAACGTTCTTATGTTAGTTAATATGCATAGTTGTTTCTGTCCGACTGCGATTTAAAAATTAATACTAACTCTTTTCACGACAACACACTTCCACCAGGATCTGTATGTGCAAATTTGTCCTGCGTCAAGTCAGTCCAATCTCTGTTACCTCAACCTAAACAGTTCTGAACTACATTCTTTGCTAGGTAGAGTCCATCAAAGCACCTCTCAGGATATAGTTTTGTTTCATTCTGGGTATGTGTCCAGGCCCTCAAATGCGGCAATGTTTTATTTCTGTTACAACACTGTTGCAGCTAGGGCACTGTCGAGTATGTATTTGGTCTTTTTTATCACTCTAGTGCCACATATTTGTTATATAATCAAATCTTCATCCTAATGCTGCACTGTTGCAACTTGGACTGTAGTGAAAGTTCCTGTGTCTTGATGTCCTTCCCTGTTATGTTGTCATTGCCGATCATGTATGTAAATTTGTCTATATCGACCAGTGAAACAAAGACAATACATGTGCATCAGTAATTTTTGTTTTACATAGAATACTGTAAAATCTGCATGAGAAGCTGCGGCTTCTATTAGAATTGTATGAAGCAACCGAGAATGCAGCTTCTTTTAGAGCATCAAATACATATGAGAAATGGTGAATTGTTGGTTCTGTTTGGTTCTTAATTGCTAAAAAATTGATCTGGCTCCTATTGAAGATGAGGTTTGAAATACACATTTTAAGTAGTAAATTCACAATGAAAACAGTGTACCATAGAAATGACTTATATTCAAGTTATCTAAAACAAAATGAACTTACGTCTAACAATAAGTCTCATAAAACCATTTAATCCATCTTGTCGTTGTTGTTGAGTAGTATAACATTCATAAATTCCAGCATCTGATGGTTTAGCTGATGTAATAGTAATACTACTTTGTCCATGCCATGCTTCTTTATCCACACCATTATGTTTCCATTTCAATTGTGATTCTGATATTGATGTTGATTGTATGGTCATTGTCAGTGTTACATCATCTCCCCAACTTACTGTCTTGGTTTGAATCTCTGGGTGGATTTCAGCTGTTTGAACAATACAAATAAACATGTTTGCGAAAACAGATGTATGCAAAAAAGGATATAAATTCACCATTAATCTTGAAACATATCATTTTTGGCCCTATTAAAAGTGCATCTTCGAAAATCACATTTGTATATTGAATCCTAAAATAAAACTTATTGTTACTACAGAAATACATGTAATTCACGTAAATGCAAGTGCTGCTTATATACAAGATATGTACATTATTTAAATCGTTTTTCCGCCACTTTGCTCAAATAAGACAAATATTTAACCTATTAAATGCATTTATTTTACATTTATTTTCCGTCAAAGTTTTGTTTCTCGGGACTGGTATGAATTTGTCATTTTATTAAAATAGCTACAATGGCACCTGTTAAAAGAATTCGTACTAAGTATTGAGTCACATGAAACAGAATTTGTAAAATTTGTCGTCCTCATCAACTCGTGTGATCAATTTCATTTCCGTCCCAGTTTCCTGGCAACTATTTACTGTAGCTTTAGTTTTTCCTACAAAATCTCGACTTTTACGTTATTTAGTGACTTAACTACACATAGAATGACTGGTTTTTATATTCGCAGTCACGCTCATGTACTTCAGTACTACATGGTCATCTACAATTT